ACTGCTTGTCTTGTCTTCTCTCAGCAGCGCGTGGCCACTGAAACCCAGCTAAGAAGGACGACTGTGGAAACAACGGCTGTCAAAGAGAGGAAAAGCCCTAAGGCTTAAGGTTAATCATTTTTTACCCATATGTTGTTAAATTTCAAACAGTTTAAAAAAGAAAAAAAAGTTTGTCAGACTCTTTACTTGACTCTTAGAGCGGTTTTAAAAAGCAGCAGCTGCTGATACTGCTGGGGGAGCGGGTGGCTCTGCCCGAGCTGCTCACAGCCAGCGAGGGCCGGGGCAGTGTCCTGCACGGGGGCGCTGGGCTCTGGAGGAGAGGATGGGGTCAGGGGTGGCAAAGTGAAGGAGTGTGCCTGCTGGGCAAGGAGAACCTGGAGAGGAAGTGGTATTTTACACAGTGCTCTTACTTTGTGTGTGTTGTTTAATTTAGGATCTTTTTATATGTATCTGTCTTCCATATATATTCATCCAACCGAAGGTAAGACGGAGGTAGGACCTCTTTTTCTCCCCTTCTGTTTTTTTTTTCCTTACAGCAATATTTCCCCAGTAACTGAAATTCTGTGCTAAAGCAAGTGGTTGGTTGGTATTTTTGACAGAAGATTTTACTAGGAGATGCCATTTTAAATCTTCCTGAAATGTAAGAATAAAATTTCACCTGAATCCTCAGCAGTTTGAGGCGCAGTTCCTGGACTCTTTCAGTAAATCCTTCAGAGGATGTGTGATGACTGTTGTGTTGTTACTGTGGAGGTGGTGTGATTGTAACAAACAGTGCTTCATGTCAAATCACAGTAAAATCTCTATCTCAGCACTTCCACAGTCCCTGCTCTGTATAGTCTGTGTGGACAGCAAATCACCTTTAGGAGGGGATGGAGAGCTCTGCAGGCAGCTCCTGCTCATTTTCGGAGCAGAGGAGTTCCTAGGTGGTGGTAGGGAAGAGGGACAGCACCACTGGGAGCCCTGCACGTGTGTTTGCCTGTGATGTTGACCTGCACAGGGGCAGCTGGCAGTGTGGGGTTTCCTCCTGTGCCCCGAAACCCCGGCGCAGCTCCACCACCGCTGTGGGGCAGCACGGCCTCTGCTCTGTCAGAGGTGCTCTGGGCAGGGGTTGGCAGCTCCTGCAGAGATGGGCAGTGTGTGTCAGCCTCCCAGGGCCCCGGGAGCAGGGCAGGTGCCCCGTGCTGCTGCAGAGCTGTTGGGAGCGTGGCTGGGATCCTCCTGCGCCTGCTCCGGCGGCGCTGGGGAGGGACACCAGGGACAGGCCAGGGGGTCCCGTGGGCAGGGGCTCCCCCAGCCTGGGGCAGCTCTGCTCTTGACTGTCTACTGCATCCCTGTATTTGAGTGGCAGGCTGGGAACTCCTGAAAGCTGGGAGCAGTTACAAGGGATGTATGAACTGATCAGTGTCTGCATTCTTCTCTCCCCAGGTTTCACGTGCTCGCCCTTAAAGGTGATGAAATGGAGAGAGAACACAGAGAGCCCCCCAGAGCACGCTGGAGGCAGAGGTGAGTTACCTGGTGCTGTGCTCTACCCAAACTCTGCATTGACTCCAGGCCAGGGACTTTGGAACAAGAGTCTATCTGGTGTTTATTTTACATCTGAGAAACTGCCCCACGCTGCAGACAGAGCTGTGTGGGAAGGGCAGCAGTAGGACCCAACCACTTTCTCCTGCTCTTCAGTGCAAGAGGAGGAACTGCTCACTGCCAGGTCTCCCTTTTGGCAGCAAGGGCTTGTTCCCCAGCAGGGCCAGGGGGGTAGTTGTACAGAGGGGAAGTAAATGCTGGCTTTGATTTTTTTGCCTAGTTTGTTCCTGAAAAAAAATGCAGAATTCTTAAGGAGACCTGCCTGAAACTGAGATGAAAAATTTAGCTATCTGAAGTACACTGTTTCTAATTGGGGTGCTAACTAGCAAATACAGAGAGGAGTGAGGGAGCAAAATGTGTTTCTGTAACTCTAGCAGGATAACAGAGGCAATAGCTGGAACTACAGTTGTTAATAATGTGTCCTTTGTGATAAAAAAATACTAAATTTGCTTTTTAAATGAATATGGTTTGAAACCAACACCAGCCCCACACAGCCATTAGGCTTCATCTGCTGGGCTAACTCAGCTGTTTGACAAGTATCTGTTGTTTTGGTTTTTACCTGTGAGTAAAATGTGTGGTTGGGCCCATGAGGTCTGTAGGGAAGAGCAGACTGGGTGGCTCTGGCACAGGCTGTGGGTCACCCAGCTCCAGGTGTGGGCAGCAGTGGCTTCACCTTTATCCTCACAGCTGCTTGCAGAACAGGGCATTTGTGATGAAATGAACACTGCACCAGCAGCCCTGTGGCCAGAGCCTGGGAGCTGCTGTGCAGAATTTAATCAGTATTGATTGGCGAGGGGCAAAGCCCTCCTCATTCAGCTGAAGGTGTTTAATTAACTAATTAAAACCTCCTTTGTGGAGCTGGGGTGGAGTGATTGTCCTTTGCTGGTGCAGACTCTCACCTGGCTTCTGAAACTACTCAGAGCAGTGTAAGGAGCAGGTTTGAAGCTGGGACTGGTGGCAGCAGCAAGACCAGGGCCCCCATCAATATTATTCCTTTACTTGTAAAGATCCATTGAGAGGCAAAAGTTGTTTAAAGCCCACCTGAGTGCAGCCCCTCCAGCCTGTGGGGTACACACGAGATGTTCCCAGTACAGACAGAACTCCAGAAGCTACACGCAGGTTTATTTCATAGTTCCTCAGCACCTAGAGCATCCTCCCAGCATGGAACAGGAGGATCTGTTCTATCTGTGGTCAGAAATACATGTCTGCAGAAACCAAGCAAAGCAGGGACCCCGGGACAGAGCACTAGCACCTTCTGATTGCACAGCTTAAAATCTCTCCACTTTGTTACTTACACAGCCACTCAATTGTTAATAGCAAATCATTCTGAGAGAATTTCTGTGGTCCTGCGAGGAGCAGAAATTGTAAATTAAAGGTTGGTCTGATAGTATGAAAATAGCTCATAATGAAATTTAGTCTAAATTTCTCTCTATAAAAATATACTGAGTTCCTGACATTTTCAAGCACAGCAAATAAATACTTATGGCTGGTCTGGGGCTTCTAAAGGTTCAGCTGAAAATTGATCAACTCTGAGGTCAGGAACAGTCTGTAAAGTCCACGTTTGCCCAGGGGTGTCACCGAGCGAGGGAACTCGGGTGTTGCCTCTGCAGCAGCCCCCTCGGGGTGTTGTTCTGTCCTTTTTCCTTGTGCTTCAGCTCCCCATCCACAGGCAGCTGTCAGGGAGGTGCTTCACAGCGAGGTATTTTTAAGGTTCCCCGTGAAGGTGGTTTCTGGGTTTTGCCTCATCCTCAGGAAGCAGCAGCAGGTAAAAGGGAACCTGTGAGCCCGCCCGTGCTGGGACAGGCCCTGTGTGCGGACACGGAGTTGTGGCCTTCCCACTGTGCAGCAGGAGCAGGCAGGGCAGGACAGCGTGGCTGATGGCAGAGAGGAGGTCTCAGACATCTGCCTTTTGTCTTCTAGATTGCTGCAGGACGGGCTGAAGAACTGAAGCTGAGCACGTCAGGAGAACCCAGAGTCCACACAAGGGCAGAGCTGTCGCCTCAGCCAGCGGTGAGCGGTGAAGTGCCGGTGACGTCAGCACACGGGTGTCAGCGGCACGTCACGGGCACAGGTAACCAAGTCCTCCCTCACCTTCCTGCTGCCCTGGCCCTGCCGTGCTCCCCGGCCCTCCTCACTATCAGACTGAACCTTTTTTGGATGCAGAGTAGCAGAGTAAAGCAGCTTTAGTGGTCCTGAGCTCCCTCGGGCAGCTCCCATGGCTGAGAGGTCTCTCATTCCTGCAAGAGACAAGCAGCGTGTCAGGAACACCTGGAGTGGGGTCTGTGTATGGGCCAGCCCTGCCTGCTGCCTCCAGCCTGGCTCAGGCAGGGGGGTCTTTCTGTGCCCCAGCAGCCAGGCTCTCCTCAGGTGGCCAGCAAGCCCTTCCTCCTCAGTGCCCAAACCAGCTCGTGTACTACAGAGCCAACCAGGAACAGGAATGGTTGGACACTTAAACAGCAGGTGTTGCAAAATGCCAGCCCTAGAAGTCCTCTAACACAAGTAGGATTCTGCCCCTAACAGGGGCAGCTGGTGCTGCTCAAACCTCTCCAGTTTATCTTGCAGCAGTCTTTTTGTTTCAGCTGAAACTTGCTCTGGTGGTGGTAGAGCCCTGGGGAGACGTCAGACACCCCCCGGGTCCCAGCTCGTGGCCTACGCGCCCCTTCTGGCTCCCACTCGCCAAGCAGGGCAGCAGGGAGGAGCCTGGGGCTTCATTGGGGCAGTTCTTCATTCATCTCCTTCCCCTGTCACTACATTGCAATGCAACTGGATGAATTTCAGAGAGCAGAAATAAAACTTGCTGTTTGCCAGTGACCTCTGCCTTTTACTTCTGAGTCCTGCTGCAGGTACCACGTCCTTTTGGAACATGGCACATGTTCTACCCTTGAGCTGCTCTCCTGACCCCCGTTCACTGGAGCCACTCTGGGGACAGCAGCAGCCTGTTCATGGTGGCTGGGAGCTGCCCACCTTGCTGTGTCTCAGGCCTCCACCCTGTGTGCAGACCTGGCAGCACCACCTTGTGCCCGGGGACAGAAGCAGCTTCTGGGAGCCTAGTTTCACTGGCTCACAGATCACTGCAGATCCCAGCTGAGGGGTCACCACGCTTGGCATTCCCTGGGCTAGTCAGGGCCCGGCTAGGGCTGGGAGGTTGGTTCAGGGATGCATGCTAGGGCCGTTCTGGGGGTGACTGGGGAATGCTGCCTGCCCAAACACCCCTCCCCCAGGAGCACAGCCCGGGAGTGGCTCCTGCCCAGCTCCTGCTGCAGGAGGCAGTTACGGGGCAGCGACCACAACTGAAGCTTTATTTCCACTGCCCCAGCAGGCCCTGCCCTGGCAGCACGGAGCCTCTGCTTCCCTGGGCACTTGGCTGTCAAAGGCCATGGTCAGCTGAGGCTGTGGCTTCCTCTGAGCTGCCCTGCTGGCTAATCCATGGGGAATACTTGGGAATTCTGGAGACCAAATGGTCCACCTCGGGGTAAACTCACATTTTTCCATATCTCTCCAGTCCTCTCAATCACAATCGTCTGTGATTTATTGACAGGTGACGTGAGCTTGTAGTCATCAGACAGGAGCCCCAGAATCGGGTACTGGTTCCTGTACCTGCAGGGGGGAGAGGTGCAAACCTGTGAACTGCCACCTGCAGACCCCCCACTGCCCAGCCCAATCCCCCTCCCCCCATGGCTG